TTATATTCAAAATAGAAGTCAGAAAATACATTGCTCTGGGGTAAGAGTCTATGCCTTTGCTTCCACAGGAAGCAAAAAGTTTTGGTTCTCTTCAAAATTAATAAAGATCAGACTTAATCACGGGAAATTTCCTGGGAATCTTGATTTCAGACATAAGGGAAAAAAGAAAAAAAAAAAAAAGCTGATCTCACATTCCAACTTTGGAACAGCTCGGAGACATGATAAATCGATAAATCTTTGTTGGCTACAGAGTCCTCATGACCTAGTATTATTACTTGTCATCCTTTCCTATGGCCAAGTAGAGATTTGGTTATATAGTCCAAATCGATTTATAAAGTTAACAGATGCATTTTACCTGCTCAAATATAGAACAACAACAAAATTATCTTTAACCGACTTGTATGCATCCCACATTCCATACTGGTGTTAATGAAGATATATATATGCTACCTTAAAAGTTTGTGTGTTTCCGGAAAGAAAAAAAGGACCAAAGACAAGGAGCCCAGGTGATGCAGCCTCTCAGAATGCCTCATTGCAATACCCAGAACAACTGCATAGCTGCTAGCTGAAAGGGTCCAGCCTCCCAGACTACTCCTGCCACACTTCAGCTCCCAGAACAACTGCATAGCTGCTAGCTGAAAGGGTCCAGCCTCCCGGACTACTCCAGCCACACTTCAGCTAGACCTTGTACTTACCCATCACACTAAGACTAGACAACAGCTAGTTCTCCCTGGACTTGATTGTTATTCCATTTTACCCAGGGTCCCCTAACATGTCATCAACCTCAGAAAACAGGAAGCAGTCTGGAGTACATGATGGCCACAATGAGGTGGATGGTTTTTGGTCATTCAGTAGGTTATGAATCTTTGTCATTGTTTAGGGGGGTTGGTAGCAAGTAGTTATAGGTAATGGTCAGAAAGGAAACCAATAATGGAGATTAGATTCTGGGATCTTGTTCTGAAAGGAAAAAGGGGGATTATGGGATGATGGGATAAAGGGGTAGATTACTAATTCTACTTTAAACCAAAAAACAACTGTTAATCTCAAATATTTTATATTGATATGGATTTTTGTATATAGATATAAATTTAAAGTGAATTTTGTTTTATTGTATATATGTTTCTTCTCTTTTTGAGGGTATTGTACCTATGCAGCTCATTTAAAAATGGAATGTATAATTAAGAAATATAGGTTAATAGTCATCCATAATAATCAAATTTGTAGTTAAGTTAGGCATGTTTTCAAGGTTAAACAAAGATAAATTTTAGATAGATAGGATGTCTTCAAATACTTCAGAGCCCTACAGAATATGGCATTTAAGATGTTTCAATAACTAAGGCTTTTCATGACAATGAGGCATCTGCTCCTGGCAGCACAACTTTACTTCAAAAAAGGATGACGGGCATTGAAGAACTCTAAATGGAGTTTGCTTTCTTTGTGGCAAAGTTAACCACTGAGTAAGCAACTGCCCTTACCTCAACAGCTGTCAGTATGCTGTCCAAATTGGATGAGCAGGTCAGAAAAGAAGGTGACTGCCAAATTTTGCCAAGCCAAGGTAGTATAGTCTTTCAAAGTTCCCATTTCAAAGAAAAGTCTGGCAGGTATTCTAGGCCTGTAGGCTGAAGATGGATGTCCAGTGTTGCAGAGAAACCTTGGATGACTGGCAGTCAGCCAGCTACTTCTGTCATTTCTATAGTTTTTAAACGTGTTTGCTCTGCACTTCTTGTCTTTGGTAGGATTGAAGACTAGATAGTTACACTTATAACTTTCTTTGTTACCAAATTCAGAAAATAAACTCACAAAAGAGGTGTAAGTTGTATAAGGTTGACAGACATAAAAGCTAAAATTGTTTATCTAAGCAAATGAGGTCTAAAAAGATAGTTTTTGGTTGTTAATACAAGTTAGGATAGAAAGTGAATTAGGTACAAAACTTTGAACTCACCAAGCGAGGTAGATAGTAGAGTAGCGTCTCTGAATTTACCAAATACAAATAGATGGGATATTGTGAATGTAATCCTTACTTGATAATTCTTCTTATTGTATATAGTTTCACTATGTGAGAGTTAAAACCTTTTCCTTTTATTTAGATAAAAGGAGGGAAATATTGTGGATTATTTGCACACTGTGTGAAAATGTATTGCTGTGACTGGTGTAATAAAAGCTGAATGGCCAACAGCTAGACAGGAGATAGAGGCAGGACTTCCAGGCACACACACACACACACACACACACACACACACAGAGAGAGAGAGAGAGTGAGAGAGAGAGAGAGAGAGAGAGAGAGAGGAGAGAAGACTGGGAATAAGGGAGCTGGGTTGCCAACTAGACATGGAGGAAGCAGGAGGAAGAGTAGAAGTAACAAGTCACATGACATAATGTAGATTACAATAAATGGGTTAATTTAAGTTATAAGAGCTAGTGGGACACGCCTAAGCTAAGACCAAAATTTCATAATTTATTAATAAATTTCATGCCATTATTTGGGAGCTGGAAGTGCAGAGAAAGACTTACCACAGTGTATGAAACTCTTTCTTATGATAAGTAAGGAAGCAGCGAGTCAGAAGATGATCATTTTGTAACCCCTAGTAAAGAAATGAACTTGCCTTTTTTTGTAAAGGATCTGGAAACTTTTAGATGGATGGATTAAGGTGACACCTTTACCAACCAACCAATATTATTATGACAAACAGTGGTATAGTACAGACTTCGTGAACCTCCTTGTGATGCAAAGGGGAGTCTTCTATTCTTTAATTCATATAAAAGGAACACTGAGACTACACAAAAGGTCTGGATCTGATATTTATTCACTCGGAATGCAGGGGAAAGAGGAACACTTAAACACCACGAGTAAGAAGCAACCAGAAAAACCCAGAACATGGTAAAGCCTAAGACTGCACTACCTACTCCAATACACTCATAGTATTAACAAAGAGAATGGCCTCTGCTTTTCCCTTTATTTCCTCTAGATGTTTAGATATAACAACCAAATTCAACATGTAGCTTTTATGCAAGTCTTTATCTGGATAGCTTAAAGGATTAAATGATAGGGAGATTGTACTGTGAACTCTATACCTCATGATATTTGGGGACCATGGCTGTTTGTGAAGGGTTGAAAAGTGTATTTCAGCGGTGTACAAAATGATTTTGTTTATTTATTTATTTTTGAGACAGGGTTTCTCTGTGTAGCTTTGGATGCTGTCCTGGAACTAGCTCTGTAGACCAGGCTGGCCTTGAACTCACAGAAATCTGCCTGCCTCTGCCTCCTGAATGCTGAGATTAAAGGCATGCGCCACCAACGCCCGGCTACAAAATGGTGCATGTAGGAACCATTCAGAAGATAGTTTTGAAATAAAAATGCCATGTCTGTCTTTTTCGAATTTTCTTTTCGGTTGCTGTGGTAGAATAATGTTTGAAAGAAAATCGGCGGAGAAAAGTTTCTTTCATCGTTCACTTCCAGGTAGGGGCACCGAGAGACATCAGGGCAGAAACCCCAGGCAGGAAGCTGGAGACAGGAACTGAACCACCTGCCAGATGGAGGCTAATCTTCAATTGCCCAGGGCGGCCTAGTTTGTGTCATGTGGACAAAGAAACTAACTGGCTCCCTTGTTAATGTATTTTCAAACATCTGGCACTGCTGGGAAAGAATGGTTTCCCTTGTCTCTTAATATCTCAGAGCTCCAAGAAAGGTCTGCAGGTTATTTTCCTGTCTGGTATCTTTCTTCCTTTGCCTGGGGAGTACCTCCCCCTGTAGACACAGAGGTCTGTTTTCATGTTGGTGTCTCGGTTTTTATTCCCAGAGCTTTCCATCTCCTCACAAGAATCGGCTTAGACTTTCTAGGACCCAGTCATTCTGGTTTCTGAATGAAAAAGAAGTGAAATTAAATGGAAAGGGAAGAACATGACCGAGGTTAGGTATGGTGGAGGGGAAAGTTTATTGTAGATAAAAGGGAGAGCATACCTGGGCTCAGAGACATCTGGGAGACATGAACCTAAGCCATGGCAGAGGGGGAGAAGGAAGCAGCAGTCAACAGGGCAAAAGGGTTTAAAAAAAAAAAAAAACAAAGTAGAAAGGCAGGTTACCAAAGTGTCTGGATTATATAGGGAAGAGTAAGGCAGTGTCCCTCCTGAACTGGGAAGTTCCTGTCATCGGGACTGAGGGATGCTGGGAGAACCTGGCAGCCAGGTCCGCTTTGGTATGCAAAATTAGTTTTATGGAAGCTCTTTTGTCTAGGGGGCAGTTCAATTCTAGCATAATTTCAGTTTACGGGAAATAAAGGAAAAGTACTTTCTTGCATCTCCTTCACCAGACATCCTTCCGATTGCATCACTTAAGAATTTGGGTCTAGAGAGACTGGTGGTGAAGTTTAAACACATACATTTATGTTTAAAAAGCACCCTCCTCCACATCCTTCCCTTTTATCTAAATGTGACTCTAACAGAGATAGAAGCCAAGATCTGTGAAGCATTTTCCTGGAGAGAAGTAAGGAGGGGGAGGAGCAGTAAGACTATCAAAGTTGTTTCCTTGAACTGCAATTTGGAAACTAGTTAGAATTCCAGAGGTGGCCTGAGCGCAGCCTTAAGGAAGGCATAGGGAGGAGAGCGCCTACAGTCTCTGCCACAGGCTGTTAAATAGCTGTTTAACTTTACAGCTTCATGAAAAAGGAACAGTGTAAGGGAGGGCAAAGAGGAAGGCCTGGAAAAGGTCCTCTGGCAGCCAGCTCATAAACATCCCAACTAACTTTCTGACATCAACACCAGGACTTTCCTTTAACTGGGACTGGCTCAGGCCGGGCTGGAAAGCCCTAAGGAGGTGATCAGCACCAGAGGGCACCACGTGGGTTTCTTTAAGAGAGTGGCCGGTGGCCCTTGCACCGGCGAGCCGCGAGAGTCTGGGGCAATCCGGGTGAGTGCGTGGGGCGGCGGCCACGGCCCGGGGGGGGGGGTGGGGGGGAGGAGGGTGGCGCTGGGCCCAAGCTTTTCACCGCTGCCCTGGCAGCGGTGGTGGCGCGGCGGGCATGGCAGAGATGCATTCAGGGCCAGTGGCCGGGACACAGCTCAACGCGCTACCCGACCACTCGCCGCTGGTGCAGCCATCCTTGCGGGAACTGAGGAGCCGAGCGGTGGAGGCGGGCATCCCGCAGATCCCGCACCCGCTCACAGATGCCTTCTTGCTGCGCTTCCTGCGCGCCCGGGATTTCGATCTGGACCTGGCCTGGCGGGTAAGTGTGCACCGGGCAGGATCCACCGGCGCCGAGCGTGGCAAGGTGGCTGCAGGTGCGCCCAGACCCTCGGGTGTCCTCTCTTCTGTCCCCCCGCAGAGGCTGTGGTCCTGGCGGTCCAACTGGTCCTTGCTCGGACTAATATGGTCCCTTGAATTAGACAAAGTTACACACCTGAGTAGATAACTCGTAGCGTGGTCAGAGAAGGACCAAATGGACATCTGAAGACATCTTAAAAGGGACTATGTTAAGCTAAATGCCAGGACAGTCAAGCAGTTTGGCATGTTCGGAATTCAGGGCGGGAGGGGCGATTCTTTTGTGTTTCAGGTGTTCACAGCACACAGAGAGGGGGCCTTGGGGCCAGAGAGATGCGACCTTGAGTTTGTCCCTCGGGGTCAGAGCCCTTATCTGTTCAGTAAGAGTGACTACACAGTAGTTTCCACAATTGCACATTAACCTGCAACTGCTAGAACAAGATGTGCTCAACCATCCCTGTGCTTGACCCCGAGTAAGCGGTCAGTGGGTGGACCTGACCGTGACCAAGACATTTCTCCGAATCTTAGGAAACTAATTTTACCCGACAAGTGTTGGGTATGGCAAAAAGCAACACAAATAATACAAGATAGTAAAAAGTGCAAAGGAATTTCCAAAAGGGGAAAAAAAAATTCCCATCACAAACTTTAGCCAGTAGTTGAGTAACCAGAAGTGTGGGGGCATTACCTGTTACTTAGCGCATTGCTTCTCCTCCTCTTCCTCCTCTTCCTCCTCCTCCTCATTATTATTAACTTGTCTTTTCTCAGCCGCTTGTTATACAGAATCATGTCATGTGAGCACCTTCATACACATCTTGCACTTTTGGGGACTGTATTTATCCCTAAACAATATTACGTTAAATGTATCTAATCAGTTTCCCTTGTGGCTGTGGAGTGTTACCAGGTGGTGCTGGGCCCATGCTCCCCTCTCATGCCTTTATCCAGTCATGCGGACCCCAGTGCTGCCATGCTGGACATTGACCCCTTCAATTGGTGTTCCTCTTTCTTCGTCATGTTTTACATCCTCATTCTTATCTAGCAGTACAAATAATGCTATTTGTGAGTGTTTTCTTCTATCACTGACTTTTTATTCTAGCTTGTCTTTATACTTCGTCTTTATACATAAATTGAGAATGTATTTCTTATGGGTCCTTATCGGACAAATTCATCGGTTGCTGAAGTATGATGCTCGTATCTTCAGGGTTGAGGAATACATCAGCTTTGCAGCGAGGTTTTCACTTTGTTTGCCGTACTGATACAATGTGCACTGTGTGATGGTGTCTTTTTCTCCATATTATGAAGGCTGCTTTACCAAATAAGATTTATGCCTGCTAGATGGAAAATAGTTTGTATTTTCATTATAAAATACATTAATTTTGTTAGAAGTGAGGTTAACCATATTTTAGATATCTAAAACTAGTTTTTTTTGTGTTTATTTTTTTTTCTTTGCCTCTTGTTCTATTTTTTTTTCTGCTTTGGGAATACCTATCTACATCAAAGAAATGCAGTCTTTGTCCTAGCTTATCGCCTATCTGACATTTAAGCCATGTCCTTTCTGAAATAACTAGGATGTTTAAGTATGATTAAACATATTGACTATTTTTTGTTTGCTCTTGTGTTCCATGCGTGTTTTGTTTTCTGGTGACGTTAGCAGTGTATCAGCAAGTTAACTGTGTCACTGTCAAGGCTAAGTCTTGCCATCAGTGTAGCAGCCCTGGAGCTGGGGGAATGAGCTTTCTCCATCTGTTAATGAATTAATTTATTGCAGAGCTCCCTGACCTTGACAAACACTGCCACTCCTGTGATGATTTGCCTTCCACAGGACCAGCATTTTCCTCTTGTAGAACTGAACTCATTTTTGCACTGGACAAACACTCATCATGCTACCAAATCGCACCCCTAGTTTCTGTTTTGGTGCTGTAAAATTCTTTTTCTTCCTGTTCCTTGCTTGCTTGCTTCCTTCCTCCCCCCCCCCCCGTTTTATCTTTTTTTTTTTTTTTGAGTTTGGGATTGAACCCAGGGCCACTTACATGGTAGGTCAGTAGTCTATGACTGAACTATGGCCCAGCCCTTTTATAAATGATTCTATTCAACAATTTCTTTAGAAATCTATTATGGATTGCTTTCCTTTTTAAATGTTGATTTCAATTTAGTGAAAGTGGGTTTAAAGGAGTCCACAATAGCCCAGATAAATAATTAACTGGTATTTGCTAGGGGAACACTGACACAATGATGGTAAATAACCGCTGAAGATGCAGTTTCTGCTCTATAGAATGCACCAACCACAGCCCAAGGGAGACCCAGCCTGCACATCTGCACACCTGAAGCCATGCCCCTAGGCTGCAGCAGCCACCACCCCAAGTCCACTGGGAGAACAAGATGCCACTACATGTTAGTAATTAAATAACAGTGCAGCTTCACTTATTTCCCTGTGCTGGGTGTGAAGTTTCTGAACTCTGTGATCATGATCAATGAACACACTAATATGCATGGTCCAGCTAGTGAAAATGAAGATGCAGTTCCTGCAGTTTCAACGAGTCCTTACAAATACAGAGACATACCTAATAACAAAATCTACGAGTTGTTGGTCTTAGCTGCTTTTTAAACAGTCATGAGTAAGCAGGTAAAGATATAGAATCAGTGCATAGCCTCTGTGAGAACATGTATATTTCCTGTATTCCCTCTTTTGCTGAATGGTTTTCATTGCACAGACCCTTGATGAATTGCCTAGTAGGACTCCGAGTCCACTGGACAGAGCCCAAGTTTCTGCTTGTGACCTCTCTGTCTTGTCTGCCAACTGGAAGGAAAGAGGAAAGGGCAAAGCTATGCAACTTACTTTTTATTTTTCTCTGTAGTTGTAGTTAGTGCAAACTCTCTTACTCATGGTATATAAACCCTAATGGTTTGGAGGAGGAAACTTCTACAGTTCCCTCAGTTATAATGGAATTTCTTATTGTTCACGTTTTTGAAATTATGATAAATTAATATTTTCGAGTCTTAATAGCCAATATGTTTATGGAATGACAGGCACTTTGCTGAATGATTTATGTGGGGTTTCTATTTTTTTTTCATTTTACAAGAATTTGAGATAGAGAGTAAGTCGTCAGCACTCACTGTTAACCTGTGGCTCAGTAGGGTAACTGGTCAGCACTTACTGTTAGTCTATGGCACAGAGGGGTAACTAGTTAGTACTCACTGGCCTGTGACACAGTGGGGTAACTAGTCAGTACTCACTGTTAGTCTGTGGCACAGTGCTTTGAACTTGGTTGAAGAGGTTGAAGATCAGAAGAGCTCATGCTGCTGGAAGACTACTGGCTCCTTCAAGTCAGAATAGTAGGCATAAAAATAGCCTCATCTGTTTGACAAGCAAACTGCCTAGTTCTTTATATTTCTGTTGTAAGCTGTGATGGTTTAGATATGGTTGGTTCTCTCAAAACTCCCATTGAGATTTAATTCCTATGGCGAAGTAGTAAGCGAGCAGAAATATAATCCAACTACTGTGTATGGAGTGGACTTCCTGGGAAGTTTGTCAACGTGGAACATTTGTGATAGAATACTGGTAGTTTTTATATGACACACACACACACACACTCCCTGAGTCTGGCCAACAACATATTGCAACCACTAGACCTAGGGCCAGACTGTGAGCCCAGATGAATTTTATCTCTTTAAAACTGGTGTCATCTATGTTATTATATTATTAGCAACAAAATAACACAAAACCTACATAGACTTCAACTGTCTTTATGGTTTCATTCTGATTATTCTAACCTGAAGAAGCCAGTAGTCTTCCAGAAGCATAGGCTTTCCTGAATTTAAACAAGTTCACAGCTTTTTAAAATTCTTCCTCTTCCTGAGGATTTCCATCAAACTGTAGCTTCTTTTCATGAAATTTGTCATATCATATATAAGTTTCAGTCTTCATTTTGCTTAATGGATAAACATAATTTTCCATGGCTTTGACGCAGGGTCATTATGAGGCAAAACTGAGAAAATGGTATTGGACTTCACAAATACGTGTGTGTGTGTGTGTAAGAAAGAACCTACCCTAAATAGCTCATTTCCAATTTTTGACTGGAATAGACAGCTTTCAGTAACAGCAGTAACAAATATTGATTTGCAGCCAGTTCTTTGTTGCTGTTGCTCTGGACTTGAGTTTGGCTAAAGAGTTGATTAGTACCAATTTATTTTTATTATTAACCTTTATGTCAAGTGGAATTGTGAATTCGTTTATTGCTGTAGAGTAAATGACCAAAGATTTTGATTTGAGCCTTTGGGAAATATAAGTGTTAAGACACATTACAGTAATTATTCATATTTACTGAAATGATTCTTTTCAATTATGGGCACAGCTGATGGATATATGCATAGATCCATTCTTTCACTCAGCATGTTTTCATCTACCGAGAGCCCACAATCTGCAGATATGTGCTGAATGAGCTGTGTTCACTAACTCTATGAGCCTCTTTAGCAAGACACACTTTTACATTCCCAGGACAATAAAACCATTATTCTATATAGTCACCAAGATGTTGCTTTCGACATGCATGCCAGACATGGATTTTAAAGGCTTGCTTTTTTCTAAGGAGATTGTCAAAAAGTAAGTGAGCATCCTAAAATGCTGTTGACATTCATTCTAATGCCACCTAGGATAGGGGGAGGAAGGGAAATTCATGGTGTTGGACAGAATGATTGCATCAGAGTTCAATGTGCCTCTTGTTCTTGCTGTTTTTGGAAATGGTTATTTAGGTCACCAATTATTTTTGCTGGCAAATTGACTGACTTTCTTCTTTCATACTTTGCTGCATTAGACTTTTAGTAAGTGCCACCTTTTTAAGCTAAGGAGACTCTATTACATACAGAGATGAGACACTCAGAAAAAGAAGATGGCAATATGAGAGAATAGGGAGAGGGAGGAAAAGAAGAAAGGGTGGAGGACCACAGAGGCTGTGCCCTAGAGGACTCCAGGGTGATGCTTTTTTCACAGTCCAATTGGCTCTTTTCCAGCTCAGTCCCAGCCAGGGACTTCTTCCACAGCTCAGAATTCTCCCTCGACATAAGCTGTTTGTTGAGTCTCCTCTGGATCACCACTGTTTTGTGGCTACAGTTATCATGTTTATGACAATGGATTTCAAATATGACGTTCCTTTGATGAAGCTTCCCCAGATTAAGACTCTAACTCAATGAAGGACAAAGTCTACATACAGTATCTTTCTAGTATTTACACAAAATGCTTACCATGTCTTTGCCTTTCATCTGAGGTTTGATGTGGCTAAGAGCAACCAGTAAGCATAAAACAAGTACAATGTCAATTTGGAAATAGAAGAATGCCAAACACACACACACACACACACACACACACACACACACAAAGAAAATAAAATGATAATAAAGTTTTATTGACTGATGGTATTTCTATGGAGGGCGTAATGGGCTTCCTTTAAACCATATTTTGCCAAGATCTAATTTTTAGTTATATTGTTTCTTTACTTCTAACTCATTTGATTGGCATTCATTCCTTGTTTCAAAGGTACTAGGGGTAGTATTTCAGTTATCTATTGCTAAGTAGGAAATCTCCCTTAAGGTTTTTGACCTGCAGTATGACTCTACACTTGCCTGTGTTCTGTGTCTTGGCCAACGCTCAGTGGAATGATGCATTTTGGCTCCTCGTGGTATCCCATGGGTACTTGACTGAAATCAGATGATTTAGGATGGCCTCTCTACCTCCCAGACTTCTCTCCCCATAGAATGTTACCATCCATAACCTTACATATGCCTAGATTCTTAAAAGGCCAGCTCATAGCAAAAGCCAATTCCACCTCTTTCTGTAAGGCATACATCAGAAGGTCTGGACTTGCTGGTGACTATGTTGGAGACTATTAAGGATGGTAATGAAAAATGACTGAGTCTTGAGTTCAAGACTAACTCTTGTGATCTCAAGTCCTTAATGAGAGGAATATTGTCTTTTATAACTAAAAAGGAAAACTCTTCCAGATTCTGATATGATAGATGACAAAGTTCACACGCAATATCAAGTCTTTCAATTGTTTTACAAAATGTTTACCATGTACATCACTTATGGATACATTTGATTTTATTTTTCAGTTACTGAAAAACTATTATAAATGGCGAACAGAATGTCCAGAATTAAGTGCAGATCTGCATCCCAGAAGTATCATTGGACTTCTGAAGGCTGGCTACCATGGAGTGTTGAGGGCCAGGGACCCCACCGGCAGTAGAGTTCTTATTTACAGAATTGGTGAGTCTTATGCAGCTGTTCTCTTCCCTCCCGTTTTGGTTTTACTCCTCTTTCATTACCAGGTATTCTAGTGTTTCTTTTGGTCAGTGTCTAATCCCATCAAGCTGCTATAGACTGATGGCTTAGAAGAAAAGCGAAATTTAGTCCTTAGTGCTGGAGGCTGTGAAATCCATCATTAAAGCACCAGTGATTTTGTTCTGATGAGGGAGGGGCCTGTTTTCTGCTACACAAAGATCTCACCCTGACCTCACACAGTGTAAGAAGTACAATGGCTACTGGAACCTCTTACAGTGGCACTAACCCCATTCATGAGGGCTCTACCCTATAGAAGATGCCTGCCTTTACCTTGGTTGCTTGGTGTCTTGTCAAGGACAAGACTGTTTTTAGCTCTTCAAAATGTTACAGGAGTATGACTTGAGTCTGCATTTCTTTTCCCCAGTTATATATCACCCACAGAGCATATGGTAGTGGCCTTTCTGTCCTTCTATTATTCCATCTGGGTCAAAGCCAGCATATATGCTTAAATTAGCAAAGAAACTAATATATTATAAAACTCAGGGTTACTAGTACAATTCAAATTTCAGATAAACTGCAAGTAAGTTTTTAGTGTACCTGAACATACTTTTGCAAAATCTTGTACCTGGGACATATTTATGCTAAATCTTGTTCCCAATTTATCTGAAATTCACCTTTATGTGGTGCTTATATTTATCCGTTAACTGTGCTTAGATTCCAAGAGCATAAAACCGAAACATCTGGTACTGGAATGTAAAAAATAAATTAATGAAAACTAGTGTCCAAAAAAAAAAGATAATAGAAAAAACCCAGAAAAATCCAAACGTTTTATTTTATTCCCCACCCACCCCCTTTTAAGTGTCTGGGTTTTGGAGTATCTAGCTGGGCACTTGCTGTTGTTTGTTTTGTTTTTCTAGTTTAGAAATTGAGACAAAATAAGTGCAAACCACATTTTTATAGCGAGAAAGCCAATGCCTTTTCTTTTCTGTTTTGTTTTCTTTTCTTTGTTCCCCCACAAATACGTTAGTAGCACACTAACAGGACTATTGTGTAGCCTGGGCCTCTGGGAGTATAGTTACTTAAAAGTGTGTTAATCAGGAGCTGGGAATGACAGCTCCAAAAAGCTTGCTATGTAAGCATGAGGTCCTGAGTTCAGATCCCCTGAACCCGTGTGAAAAGCTAATGCTGGCCCAGTGCTTGTCTGTAACCCTGGTGATGGAATTGATAGGGAGATGTCTGTGGTTTGCTGGCCATCAGTCTAGCTGAATCAGTGAGCTTGAGGCTCAAAAAATAGGGTAGAGAATGATTAAAAAAGAAAAAAATCCAACATTGACCTCCATGAATAGCCACACATGCATTTTACACACACTCTCTCTCTTTCTCTCTCTTTCTCTCTCTTTCTCTTTCTCTTTCTCTCTCTCTCTCTCTCTCTCTCTCTCTCACACACACACACACACACAGAGAGAGAGAGAGAGAGAGAGATGTGTTGTTTACACTCAAATATTTAACCTCAAAGATATATAGGTTTAAGGAAGGTCAGTTGATGGGAGATGTCATTCTGTATATGTTTCTCATACTGGTTTAATGAATAAAGCACTGTTGGCCAATAGGAAAGGAAGATAGGCGGGACTAGGAGACAAGGAGGAAAAATGGAGAGTCTGGAGAAAGCAGAATGCGGGCCGGCTCCCCAGTAAGAGAAATACATAGATCAACAAAAATGGGTTAATAATTACGACAGAGCTAGCCGATAAGAAACAAATAACGGGCCAACAGCATTATATAAAATACGGAGTCTCTGTGTGTTATTTGGGGCTGGTGCTGTGGCGGGACAAGACCGGGCGGCGGGAGGAAAAACCGTACTGCTTACAGTCAGTAAAGAAAGGTATATTACAAGCCTCCTGTGTGCTCTGTTGTTCTAGAATGAAAAGAAGAAATTTAGAAGTGCTTTATGAATAGAATACAAGGACAGAATAAAATTTTATACACTTTCGCACTTTAACTGAACATCTGTGATAGACTTTTTCCACAGAAGCCCAGCGCGGCCACCTGCCTTCTGTAACATGTATGCATAGTAAAAGCAGTGAGGAAATGCAGAGCCCTTCCCTCTGTGTAGACCTTTTTCAGCCCCATGACAGAGGATGTAACTTGAGCCTTTGAAACCAACTGCTATACTCCAGCAGCAAAAGCAAATTTTAGCTTTTCAGTTTTAGCCATAGTTGAGTTCTGAGTTGAAGCTGTGGAGCATGTTGACTTTGCTGAAATCTGTAAAATGCACACAGTAAAAACCTATTAACACAGAGTTGCTGTGTTGTATCATCTTTTATATAGCAACACACACACACAGACACACACACACAAAACATCAACTGACACACACAATGAATAATAAATGTTAGGTTGATCTAGGGAAGAAATTAAATTTCTGATTCCTCATGTCTTTCTTTATGGAGTTTATTTAGGTAGCAGTGTGCAATAGAACCTTCTGTGATGATCCTGATTAACAGTAGCTGCTAGCCCACACACAACTACTGCAAGTTTGAACCGAAGCTATTGGGATGAGAAACTGAACTTCCAATTCATTCATGCTCACAGAAAGAAAATACAGGGCAGAACATGTCTGACAGGTCAGTTGGCTCAGAAATTTAGTCAGAAACTGTTTTAGAATCTGCAGATTTCCTTTGTTGGAAAGCTGAAGTAGTGTGCTCTTTTAGAGCTGAATAAATAATGCCCATATGCTTATCAAGAATCAGAGTTGATGTAAATCAAAGGGACATTCCATGGCCATCTTTCCCCTTTCTAGATCTTCATCTTTTCCCTGATGGCTTTTTATTACCAGCTAGCATTTAGCACTGTTAAGCCTCAGCCCGTGAAAACACAAACTCTGCCTTGGTCCCACTTCCGCCTCTACCCACCACTTCCGGTCTCACCATCCTTGATCTCAGCTGGATTGTGTGTTCCTGCAGGTCACCAACCCTGCTTCCCAAGATTCTCGTGTAAGCCCTGAGCTCCTTTCACTCCCAGCAGCTGCACTGAAGGGACTTTCGGCAAATCTGCCAAGCTCTGTTTGGCTTCCACAGTCAGCAAACACTTCTGTCATGTGAACCACACTGTCCTGTGTCTCTGTTGCCATGCACTGAGGGACTTTTTCCTTCAGCCAGACTGGTGTCTTCATCTCTGCCACAGGAACCATCTGTTTCCATCAGCCTGCAAGTTCTGAAATTCCCTGGGACAGTGGCTTCAGCCTTCATTTCCTATGTATCTTAATTTAAAAATAATAAAAAAATATTACGTGCATTTGTGTATCTGTAAAGGAGTATGTGCATATGAATGGAAATTCCCACAGAGGCCAGAGACAGTATGGGATCCCCTGAAGCTCAGTCACGGGAAGTTGTGAGATGCTTGTGAGCAATATGCATGCTGGGAATGAAACTCTGCAAGAACAGAAGTGCTGAGCCCTTCAGCTTCCCGTGTGTCCTTAACTCTCTCCTCTAAAGCAGAGGAAAACAGATCTGTCCTAGACAGTCCCTGTCATAAGTGTCACATAAGCACAAATAGCTACCAGAATTGTGTCTTTACCATGTTATTATATTCTTTGGGGATTGAGCTCAGTACAATCTGTTCTCTGTTCTACCTGCACCCAGTTGGCAGTGTTTTGGATACTATTGTGCAATGTGTATATATGATCTTTCCACCCCCAAACACTATCTCAATTAATGGCACATCCAACTTACCTGGAAGCCTAAGCAAGGATCTTTGGTTTTCTGTGCTTTTCCAATTTCTTAGTTATTAATCATTTTCTTTCTTTTATTCTTCTTCCTTTATTATTCTGACTTATAGAGATCTTAATATTCAGGTTTTGAAATTTCCACATTCAATTGCATTGGTCTCGATTTTTTGTGACTACCAAATCTTTCTTTTATGTGACTTTAGACAAAATTCCTCAACTTTTAAATCATTGTCAGTCACTGACTGGCTCTCTACTGCCACTTAACCCATCAACTGATACTTTTGAGTTAATTTTTATTTATAAGATTTCAACTGAATCTTTTTAAAAGTAATCATTCTTTTTTAAAAATAAAATATTTTTATTTATTCTTTGAGAATTTCATATACATATGTATTTTGATCATATCTACCCTGTCCATCTTCTCTCAGACACCATTACCCTATATCCCCTTTCCTGTCCTTTTTTAATAACCCATTAATTCCAATTAGTGCTGTCCATATGCAAATGAGTATACAGCCATCCCCTGGAACACACACAACTGAATGGGGCTACATCCCTGAAGACAAGTGGCTTTCCCTTTCCCAGCAAGATCATCTGACAGTCCTCAGCCATGCTGGAATGTTCACTGGCTTGACCTTGTGCAGGTGGCTCCCTGCTGCTATGAGGTCAGGAGTTCACCAACACATGGTCAGATCCAGAGGATGGTGTTTCCCAGCAGTCCCTTCCAACCTCAGTTCTTATAATCTTTCCACTAGGTCTTCTGAGGTGTTCCCTGATTGTGTGTGCATGCGTGCGTACGTGCATGTGTGTGCCTATGTATGTGCCTGTGTGCGTGTATGTGTGTGTGTGTACATGTGTATGTGTGTGTTTGTGCATGTGTATACTTGTGTGTGCGTGTGTGTGATAGATGTCCCATTTATGGCTGAGAACTGTACTCAACACTCACTCAACTCTCAACTTTGAAAGTTTGTACGTTTCTGTGTTAACCACTATCCACTGCAAGAAGTTCTGCTAATGAGGGCAGAGAGCTACACTGATCTATGTGTATAAAGATAAGTATTTAGAAAGCAGTAGTAGGTTCCCCCATAGTGCCTTCCTGCTTATAGGCTTGAGACCAGATGTACAAAACCAGGCATGAGGCAGGCCTCACATACAGCTAGGAAGCAGTTTGTTGCGTCCATAATGGTCATGCCACTATTGCAGCGGTGTGGATATCTTGCTGGATGTTATGACTGTAGCTCTCTGCATTCAAGGATGGGTAAGAATGCTGATGAGTTTTATCCCACAACAACCTATACCTTTCAGCCCTAGGTAGCACCTGCTTTCCCAAGTCCTGTGATAATCAGAGTGTGGTGGCTTCAGCAATATGGTTTTACCACCAGTAATTACCCTCTCCAGACTTTATTTATTATTTATTGTGTGTGTTTGTGTGGGTATACAGGTCGGTCGGTGCACGGGAGTCACAGTATGGGTGAGGTGAGAAGACTACTTTTAGGAGTCAGTTCCTCCCTTCCTCCATGCTGGTTCCTGGTACTGAGCTAGGCAGTCAAGCCTATTGGCAAGAGCCTACTATACCCACTGAACCATCTCCCTGGCCCTATCTATTCTTACAAATAGCTTCCAGTCTCCTTTCCTACATCTGTTGAAACCATTGCTTCTTTTAACTCAGTTTTCCCTCTTAATTGTTTCCTTGGTTTTTGCTGCTTTGTCTATGGAGTTTGGTTCCCGTCTTCTTGTGGATGTATCATATGACAATTCTTAATACATTTTGATCATTTTTAAAGGCCACCTCCTTGCCTGTCCATTACCACTATCCTTTCTGTTTGTCATGACCTGTCTTGGTGGGGAGGGACAGACTGTGTGGAGAAAAATCGGTACCTCTTCTCACCATAGGTACTCAGTTTTCCCTGGGTGTGTACAGCTGCCCTTCCAAGCCCAGCTCCCTGCTCAAACCTGTTGGGACATGATTGCTCTGTGCTGGTCCCTGAGATCTGGCAGATGACCAGCTTGTCTATCTGATCCGCAGGCTTTTCTGTTAGAAACCTCTTTGGTTGCTGTCTTAGTCGTCTGTCCATCATTTTCACAGGGCTCCTGAGGAAACAATGTGAGGACAGGAAAGACTGATTCCAGAGGTGTAAGCCCCTCATTGGTTGGCTTCAGTACTGTGGGCTTGTGCTGATGCAAGAACGCCATAACAGGGAAAGCATGGTGGGGGAAAGCTGGCAAGATTATGGTGTTCAGGAGGCAACAAGTGAGAACAAGAGACAAAATATCCCCTTCAAGTGCACACATCTGATGAACCACTTCCTCCAACCACACCCTACTTCCAAAGTTCTCAGTACCACCCAATAGTCCTCTAAGTTAAGAACCCATAGCTGCCTTTGTTTCCTGATGAGCTCAGGGCTAGGTCCCTCCAGGAGGCACCATCTCTGAAGTCCCATGCACTTGGAACCAAGCCAGCAGCACATGAGCTGGGGGATATACTGCAGAGCCAAGCCATAAGCTGCCATGATCCCTGCTGCTGATTGCAACCCAGACTCACACTTTTCAGTTTCTGAGTTCAGAGCACCGTCAGAGGCATTGAACATTTCCATTGCTAGGCACAGCCCTCTCTTGAAGTGATGATGTGACTTCATTTATCAATGAAATTTGATCCACATTCATCCATACCCCATGCTCTTAAAATCTATTCATTCCTAGAAATGTAAGGAGGCAGGAAGAAGCAGACAAATATTTGGACCTCAATTCAATCTGTTACTTAACCCATGCGCCGTTGTTCATGATCTAATTTCTACACATCCTTTAGGTCTTAAAATTACTGGTTTCCTTAAAGAATCTTTCTGATTCTTCTCACAGTGCTAAGATGTAATGTCTTTTTATTACTTATTTCTTGTAGCATACTGGGACCCAAAAGTTTTTACAGCCTATGATGTGTTCCGTGTAAGTCTCATCACATCAGAGCTCATCGTACAGGAAGTAGAAACTCAGCGGAATGGAGTCAAGGCCATATTTGATCTGGAAGGCTGGCAGATTTCCCATGCTTTCCAGATTACCCCATCTGTAGCCAAAAAGATTGCTGCTGTACTTACAGTGAGTATACATCTTAACTGTTAGGTGTTAAATATACAAGAGTGTTTAACTGTGTTTTGTGTAGTTTTAGAGCTTTACTATTATATTTAAAGAATATTAACAGTAAATATAATTCACCTATTAAGAAATGTAACAAACTTCAAAAATAAATACATTTAAACTGGGTAAATACAGAATGTGTACATTTAAATATAAAGTGATTTTATTTTATTTTTGTCATTTAAGTTTTCTTCCTAAGCCAGGCATGGTGTAACACTTGTGAAGTTGCAGCATTTGGCTGGTATAAGCATGAGAATCAGAAGGCCAGCCTGGGCTACATGAGACTTGATGTCATAACACCAGTAACAACAGAAGCTGACTCGAAGATATCTATAGCAATGATGTAAACAAGATGCCACGTGTCTTGCTAGCTATAAAGTGATACACCTTTCTTTAGAAATCAAGTCTTTGTGCGTGTACCTTTGTTCTTGTGTGTGTACCTGCACATGTGTAACTGTGTTGGAAGGAAGTCATAGGACAATCTTAGGTGTATTTCCTCAGGTGCCGTTTAGCCTATTTTGCTACACAGTCCCTCATTGGCCTCCTCTTACTAGGCTAGGCTGGCTGGCTAATGAACTCCAGGGACCTTCTCCACCACCCCAGTGCTAGGATTATAAGTATGTGCCAGGATTATATGCCAAGTTGCTGAGCTCCCCCACCTCATGAATTTGGGGATCAAGCCCAAGTCCTAATGTTTGCATGGCAAGCAAATGACTAACTGAGCCATCTTTCTACCTCCCAAAGTCTTTTTAAAAAGCCATTATTGCCAGGGTGTAGTGTCACACACCTTTAATCCTGATGCTAGGGAGGCAGGTGATCTCTGTGAGTTCAAGGCCAGCCTGATCTACAGAGCTATAGGACAGACAGGACTACACAGAGAGAAACCCTGTCTTGAACCCCCACCTCTACTCCAAAAGCAATTATCGTTAATCTAGCAATTCTACTTCTGGGGCCCACCTAAAGAATAGTCATAAATATAGTAAGGGCTGCGTATGTTATAGCAATAATAACTTACTATGCTCTAGGTAATTTCCTAAGTCTTCCAAATGTTTTTGTACAGAATGGCCATGCTGGGTGATGGCAGATAATGACTCCTTCAAATCAGCAGTGCCCAAAGGATCCTAGACCAGGTCTGCTGAATGTAAAGCTGTTCTGAAGTTGCTTCTTTTTCTAGACACAGAACAATGCCTGTAGCATAACTTCTAAATAGAAGAAAATTAGATACAACACATTTGCCCAGAAATAGGAAAGTGATCACTTAAATGATGACATATCCATTGATGGATCATCTCAACAGTGCTAAAACTCACAATGCTCACCACAAATCATACTGCAGCAATAAGACAGAACGGAATGTTTAGAGAGCAGAGTAGCCATTAGCTTAAGTAAAATTAGAATTATACATAGAATGTGGGAAAACTCAACCATAATCTCAAAATGTCAAGAAGGGGAAAATTATTCATAAAAGAGAAAAAAGGTCTTTATTAACAGTAATCATTAAGCTTTTGGATAAAAAAAACTATCAATGAGTTTATTTTTCTTTCACGTATTAACTTTTTAAGCTTTCTAAGTAATGAGTGACTTTGATACTAAAGATAAATAACCATGAAATATTTTTTTTAAAAATGTGTGACTATTGTTATATTCTTTCAATTTTCATGGATTTTTTCTCTAAAAATATTTTTGATAAAAGTACTAAATTTAAAATGTCCCAAATTATCATTGTTCCCTTAGAAGAAGCTTTATGTATGACTACTGAGTAATTTTCTGGTCAAAGCATGTAGATGGCTGTTAAATTAGTTGGCCTGAACTATGAGGAGTGAGCCTTCCTATAGGTCACCTTGTATTGATGAAATAAACTATTTTGAAAATGGAATCATACTTTAGAATCTGCTGTAAAGTGTGTGTGTGTGTGTGTGTGTATGTGTGTGCACGCTCACCCACACATGCACAGAAGACAGAGGTTAATGTCTTCTTTTGCTCTCTGTTTTATTTTTTGAGACAGGATCTTAAAACCAACCCAGAGCCCATCATTTCTCCTAGGCTGGGGATTGCCTGCCTCTGCTCCTCTGCTCTGGAGACAAGCATAGCCATACCAGCTATTTCCATGCTTGCTTGTGGTCTGAACTCAGGTCTCCCTCCATATTTTACCCAATGAGCCATCTTGCAGACCCTTACCATAAACTTATAATGTGTTCCTAAAAGAGACTTGTCTTTAGGAGTGTAATGCACTATTTATGTTGTGTTATTAAGGTTTTATTTTCTTTGCTTTCAAAAGGATTCCTTTCCATTGAAAGTCCGTGGCATCCATTTGATAAATGAGCCAGTCATTTTCCATGCTGTCTTTTCCATGATTAAACCATTTCTGACTGAAAAGATTAAGGGCCGGGTGAGTAAAATCTACTCAAGTGATTATATCTCCTGAGAACATTATTAACTCTTCGCAGTCAAGGACAGTTTTACTACATCCCTATATCTCTTGGCCATAAGCCATGGGAAAAATATTGCAAATACTTATCAAATATGTCAGCTACTCTTATAAATTAAAATTTACTTTAAAAAATCTAGCATTACTGGCTATGAGATTCTGAGGAAACTGATGTACATATATTACTGGAATGTAAAATACATTTCCTGTAGAGGGCAGTGTGGTAATAGTTATGATAAACTACGTCAGCATTTTCTGGAAGTCCAGCTAGATATAGCTATGCACCAACAAAAGCACAGATACAAGATTAAAACCATCAAACATTGGCCTGAGGGGCTTGTGGAATGAACTGTGATGAATTCACACAAGACTGCTGGATGTATTTTAAGGTGAGACACATACCATGCAGATTGGCGTTGATAGTAGGCTACATTTCTGTGCAAAGGGGAGAATAAGAACATGTAATTATGTTTGCACAAAAACATATTTTGTCAGGATAAATAGAAATATGGGCGATTACAAAATGATTCAGTAATGGCAGGTGAAGGCAGAGTTCGTAGCACAATCTGTTTTAAATCTTGTTTTGATTTTTAAGTTATGTGGATGTGTTATTTATACAAATGAGAATACACAGTGCCTTAAGTATAAAACACATGTATCTGAAACAGTGTTATGCCTGGGGTTTACGACTTAATGTCAAAGGAGATGACTTTCACTAACCTGTCCTGCAGGGCTTCACGTAGAATTTTTGATTTCAAATGTTTTATTTATATGTTTTCAAAGCTTTAAAGTAATTTGTTCTCCAGAACATCAACTGGCTTCCTGAACTATCGTACAGAGGGCCATTTGTACAGCTTCCATGCAGGGTGTTGTTAAATTGTCCAGTTTGTCTCTTATTTCTAGGTTCGAGTGACCCTCCCACCTCAGTGTTCTGAGCAGGTGCAGGATGCACAGGCGTGCACCATTTGCCTGCTACAGATGGGTTTGGAAGAATTTGTGATTTAAACCTCAAAAAAAATATAAGTAGTGATGGCATTAATTACAATGAGATACTTGGAAGTTTAGCAACTATTCATCCATTTTCAGAAAGCAAAGCATTTTATATTTGGTCAGAATATTATGACCCTAAAGAGATTCTTTACAGATTAACTGATCCAGTTGTTATTTCTTTCTCTTTATTTTCCTTAAATTTATTTCCTTATTCACTGACAATTCCAAGTATGTGTCTAATGTATTTTGCTTATTCGCCACCCCTTATCCTTTTCTCAAGTTCCTCCACTGCCATTGAACTATTTTTTCCCAACCAGTCCCTCTCCTTCTTTCTTCTGTTTTTACATATTGTTACTTGTGACTCCCAGTGGGTATTTCTGTCTTTGAAAAATGTATTCAAGCCTCACTGTGGTGACGCACGCCTTTAATCCTAGCACTTGGGAGGCAGAGGCAGGTGGATCTCTGTGACTTCGAGGCCAGCCTGGTCTACAAGAGCTAGTTCCAGAGCAGCTTCCAAAGCCACAGAGAAACCCTGTCTTGAAAACCCAAATAAATAAATAAATAAATAAATAAATAAATAAATAAATAATTCTATTCCTTAGTTATGCATATGTCTGTTTGGAGGTATGTGTCTAAGCACAGGTCACCCTAGAGGCCAGAACACAGTGTCAGATCTCTTGGAGCTGGACTCACATGCAGTTGGGAACCACCTGATACAGATGTTGGAAACTGAACTCTGGTCCTCTGGAAGAGCATCAAGCAAGCTTATCTCTTCAGGCCAATTTCTTTCTGTCTTTAAGAAAAATCATTCCTAAACTGTCAGCGCTAGAGAAGCTGGCCACTTCTGGATACTCTGTACTTTAGGGTTTTATATGGGCCACTTTGTTTTCCTATAGTGACATTGAACACTTAAAGTTCCAAAAATAAGCATATTTATTTTGTGTGTGTGAACAAAGAAAACAAATTGAGAATAACTGAATCTAGTAAAAAGGGAGAGGATGAACCAAAAAAGAGAAAAAAAAAACTTTAAGAACTGAGCTGTTGGTGAAAATTAACTCACAGCCAAATGGGTAAAGAAACCCAGGCACCTTTCCTTCTCAGCTTCTTGACAACAATGTAGATTTCAATATGTCTCCTTCCCAGGGAAGATAGAATTTCTTCTCAGTTAACTGGTAGCATCTTTGATAGTCTTAAAAAGTCAATCAAGGTTGGGATATGAAGTTTTTAAGTATAGATAGTTATCCATCATCCCTCATTTTTTTTCTTTAAAAAGGTTTTTATTTTTATTTTTATTTATTTATTTTTTATTGGAGACAGGGATTAAAGGTATGTGCCACCATGGCCCTGCTGAGAAAAAAAAAATATTTATTTTTTTTTAAGGTGTGTGTGTGTGTGTGTGTGTGCCAGAAGAGGGCATCAGATCCCATGGAGCTGGAGGTACAAACTGCCCAGTGTGGGTGCTGGGAACTAAGGTTCACTGCACCATCTCTCCATTACCATCCCAAATTTCCTAGCACACAGAGGTTCCTATCAAATGGTTGCTGAAAGCACTGGATAACCATTTTCCTCTATGTGTTTGTCTCTGCAAGCAAGTACTGCAGGGAAACTCGGTTCGGCATGACTTTAGTTAGGCAGGCTCGTTCAAACTTCTGGAGTCTGACCCCAAGTGTTTTATCTTTTACATGGTTAAAAGCAGTGCGACTTTTGGGGGAAGAGTTTCCTCCTGCCAACAAAGTTTAAAGCAGAGCTACATAGAAACTTCTTTGAAAAGTATGTCTCTTTTTGGAAAGCTCCAGTGACCTCTTCCACAAGAATAGGTTCTACTTACTGAGACAGATGAGGGTCTAAGGAAGAAGGCTTTCTAATTAGCATAACAATAAGAAATAAGCATCTTTTGCAAAGTTCGTGGGGTCTTTTTCATAAGGATGGGTTCTTTTGTCTGAGAAACAAAGCTCAGAATGAGAGGGATTCTGGTGAGAGCTGACTCCACAGAACAGCAAAAGATCACCAGGTTATTAAACATCATTATTAACCCCAGTCTTCTGGGTGAACAGGTATCAGGTTCTTTTATTGAAGAAAATGCCTGTGTGTTTAACAATTCTGGTTTCTCTAGTGCTCTCTGTAGTCATGAGGGCCTGTGTCCTTCTATACGCCCAGCTTTGGAAAAGATATTTTTGCTTATTTTCTTTAGCAAGATCCACGTTTGGTTTGTATGACTTGCTTTATCTTGCCTTTACTGGCATTCTACAATCACTTTTTAAAATTTAAAATGAAAAATTTGGACTCACAGCTGTCATAATTTCTTGATGGTATTGCATCCATTGACTCTAACCATATAAACTACTCCTCATGAGCCTAACTGTGGGTGCAACTATCTGCTTCTGTTTACTATGAACTGATACCAGGTAGTAGATTTTTTTTATCAGCCTTTTGTAAATCTACAAGTGCAAATCAAAGGAAACAATAAAATTATGATTCATACCAGCATAACCTAAGAAACATTCCTAGATTTGAGAACAGAACAAAGGGTGCAGTGTGTCTATGTACCTGCTAACCTCGATGTATCCTGTTCTGTTGGGTTGTTTTTCCACTGGAAATGCTTCTGGCACGGTGAAGCCAAAGACAACACCTTTTAAAATACTGTGGCTATTTCAGATTCATCTGCATGGGGGCAACTACAACTCAACCCTGCTTCAGCACTTCCCGGACATTCTTCCCTTGGAGTATGGTGGTACCGAGTTCTCCATGGAGGAAATTTGCCAGGAGTGGACAAATTTTATAATGAAGTCTGAAGATTATCTCAGCAGCATTTCTGAGACCATCCAATAAGAAGTTATTTCCTGTGAATGACTTCCTAGTTAAAATTCAATGGTGGGATCCTATCTGGTATACTAAATTCAAGAGCAAACCGTCTAAATGAATTAATGTTTATCTGACCCTTACATGAGAAAATGGCTATTTAGGTAGTGTTCTAACTTTTACAATGCTATGTTCCTTTTGAATTAATTAGTGTTAGAAGAGATTCCTGTTTACATATGAAGAGCGAACATAGCTATATCTGAAGTTCCCATTCCAGTGTATCTTTGTATGGTTTGGGAAATTTCATTTTAAACAAAATTTTATGATACCATTGTTTAATATTAGATCGACGGCTAGTCCACTGCAAAGAAACACTGTGCATACCAACTGATGATGAAACATTATTAGTGCTCTCTCTGTCAGATTATAATTCAGATTGCAGTCTGAATACAGCTTTATGCCAGCAGGATACTTTATCTCAGGGAAACCTTACTTAGTGTATGTACAACAGAAGCCTGTAAGTCTACATGTCACCATATTATATGCAACAAAATCACTATGGTTGATAAAAATAACTTAAAACTTTAGACAATATTCTGGGCAGAGTCTATGGTTCCTTATGCAGTCTTGTATTTTCAAATAAGTAAAGAATATAATTTGTGGCTTCTCTTTATGACTTATACACAGACTGCTTATACTTGAAAACTTAATGGAATTGCACAAAAGGAAGCGTTTACATCCTACTTAACCATCATCAGTTATAGCTAGCATTTTTTCAGATTATTCATGGAATAATTTGAGTTTTACTATTATCTCAGAATATTTTATGTCTCAAAATGCATGTTTGGTTTAGGTCAGTAGGTAGGGTGTTCTGTCTGTACCACAGGCAGATCAGTTTTAAGACTTTTATTCGTTGAGAAAAATGTAATCTCGTCCCATTTTCAGCACATCCTTAAATTCCTGATGTGATTTTTATACTTAGGGTCTTCTAATTAATTTTATCTTACACTTGAAAGAATGTAAGTAGAGAATTTATTGGACCTGTGTTCAGCAGTAATCATATAATAATGTCTTCGTGCACAGGGTGTTTTTCTTTGTAAGAAAATGAGTTGAATCAGACGAGCTGATCCTTCCAGTACCCTGCACACACACTGATGTCAAAAGGATGTTCTTTAGAGAACACGTTTAACCTTCATTCACATGCTATTTCATTTTACTAGAAATATCTTGTTTTTTTCCTTAAAACATTAGTCTTCCTTACAAAACCAAAATATTAAAATTATACAAACAACAGAAAATCAACTAAGGAATAAAGAGTAACAAGACACCTTCAGCTTTTCAAACTTTTAATCATCAACAGAAACTCAGATGCCACTTTATTTCCATGTGGCTGTTCAATCATTTGCCATGATTTTGTGAAGGAATGATGCATTATAATAAAGGCTAATGTTTCAAATGTCTTTAATGTGTACATTAGTGAAGTAATTAAAAACGCCAGTTAATGTGAGTACATTCTATGATGGGGCTTTGGAATTTTTATAAAACGAAGCAGTTCTGTGAAGAGCATTGAAGAACAATGTTTGTAGACAGTTGTGAATGGTTCTGGAAGTAACTGGAATTCTCTGTGTGCCTTCACTGCGCTTGTTTTCTGAAAGGTGAATTCCATAGGTGCTTACTATGTTGCAGAACTTCAGTGATTTGTTTTAATATTGTTAAAAATAAACATCGTTCTTATAGCCCATGGTGTTAATTTTTTCATTTAAAATGTAAATGAGGCATTCTTTTTAAAAAATGCATTTTCTTTCTGAAAAAAATTAAGCAAATGCTTACTACTTTTCATTGCCTATTATCTGAATGTTGGTTCCTTTCTTTTAAGTTTTAGGTGCAGGCTGCCTTTCCTGGGTGCTGGGCTGCCTTTGCTGTTGTTTGCTGTGAAAAGTACAGACACTGCACCCCGTGCTGCAGTTCTGGCCTTCAGTTATATGTCTTTAGAATTCATGTGCAGTTTTACTTTGGAGAGTTTAAAAAAAATCACTGAAAAGTAAAACCTATTACAGAAACACAAATAATTTGGTTGATTCAGTAGCACACTGATTTGTGTTTTTGTTTTATTTTCATGCTTAGACTTTTAACTCAAGTATGCATGGCTTAGCTTTATACAATTAGCTTTGTGGCCCCCTTTAAGTCTATGTCCAAGGACATGGGTTCTAGTCCCATCATTTCATAAAACAAAGTAAAAGATGGATAATCCAATTTTTGAACAATTCCCTACAACACAGATCATGATTTTATTTATTAAACTAGATGTTACTTATGGAAATAACATGAAAGTTCTTTGAAATATTCTCTTTACCACTTACATTAAGTACATAGACCAAAAATTAAATTATAAAAAGAAACCAACCCAGCTAATGAGTGACATTGTACTTTCTGGAACACTCTTCACAGGCTGCTATATGCTGAGTTTCCCTTTTGTTAGGTGGCAAAACTAGAGTTACAAAGGTAGGGCCAATACAGTGGAAAACACTGATCAGCCAAGGCATAGACCTCAACTCCTGCCACACCCTCAGCACTTAAGTAACTGCTCTTACCCATCTTTTTAGTTGTAATTTTTATTTTATTTATTTGTTTATTTATTTATTGCCTTCATGCACTTCTCTGTACCATGTATTTGCCTGGTGCCTATAGGGGCCAGAAGAGGGTGTCAGATCTCTGGGGCTAGAGCGACAGATGGCTGAAACCTACCATCTGCTCAGACTTGAACCCAGGTCCTCTGGAAAGCAGACAGTGCTCTTGACTGCTGAGCCATCTCTCCAGCCCTACACATCTGCTTTTGACAACATTGTGGAGTAAATTCTATGTTGTGGCCAATAGAAACATTATCTTAATCACTGTTTTATTGTTGTGAAGAGACACCATGACCAAGGCAGCTCATAAAATAAAATGTTTAATTGGGAGCTTGTTCACAGTGTCAGGGTTAGTCCACTGTCTGCATGGTAGCAGTGTGGCAGGCATGGAGCTTTAGAAGTAGCTGAGAGCTACATTCCTGATCCACAGAGGAGACTGGGCATGGCAGGGGCTTCTGAAACCTCAAAGCCTACCACCACCACCACCACTACCACCACGTCCCCCTGCACACTTCCTCCAACAAGGCCAACTAATCCTTCTGATCCTCAAACAGTTCCACTCACTGGTGACTAAGCTTTCAAATATGTGGACATATGGGGCCATTCTTACGCAAACCACCACACTCCACTCCCTGGTCTCCATTGGCTGGCAGCCACGACAGAATTCAGTCCCATAATCTTTCGGTCTCAAGACTGTTTAATGAAAGTCTAAAGTCTCTTCTGAGACTCAAGGCAATCTCTTAACTGTAACCCCATGTCAAAACAAAAGCAAAAAGCAAATTGTTGTGTGCAGATTCTGAACCCCCAAAATCACCAAGACACCTGTTCCAATGCAAAATCAAAGAGTCCTTTATTGTTTAACGAGCTAACTGCTCTAACTTGGGCCCTTCATTCGTACATCACCGCTGATGGTAGAAGGACCCAGGGGAACCTAGAGGCGAGGAACTTACTGGGCAATGTAAGGAGAGTGTCTAGAAGTACACAACAGTCTCAGGATTGGTGTGCTTCCAGGCTTGGATGACCTGTCCTGTATTGATTGGTCAACTGGTTGTTATGGTCTTCAGGCCCTCCCAGGGCAGTTGCTGTCACTGTTGTGCACTTGTACCGTAAAGCAAGTCCAGAGCCCTAAAGCACATCCAGAGTCTGGCCAGCTAACTTCTGATTGGTTCCTTGCTATGTGGAGGGTATCTGACCTCATAGTGACTAGGGCAGGTCCAGCAAGTTCAGACATGTGCTGCTTCAGAGGCCTACATGTCTTTTCTGCAGCCTGTCATGGCTGTTAAAGTAGGGGGCTGGGTGAGGGTCTGGCCCCTTCTCAAATCACATGATTCCAACATACAATATCATAGGATATGCATTACCATTCCAAAAGGGAGGAAATGCTGGACCAAAAGCAAGACCAAAAACCAGGAGAGCAAACTCCAAATTCTTCTGCTCAGGTCTGATAGCAAAGTGCTCTTCAGATTTCCAACTCCTTCCAGCTTTGTTGACTGCAACACACATCTCTCTCTAAGGCCTGTCCCTAATGCACACCTGGCATCTGTGGCTTTCCTTAGCTGCAGAGGGAAAGTTAACAACCCCTTTCTTGTGTCTTCTGCTCTAAAGCCAGAAAGAAGACATGGACAAATCTGCCAAGTTCTGTTGTTTGCTGGTGCTGCTACTTGGCCCTCTCCTTCAGTTAAATTTGCAATAGTTTTCTGTTGTTGATGGTTTCCTTTACTGCTTAAACTTTCCTTTATTTCCTTCTAACAAGTTGGAAGCTTAGCCAGATGGGGTCTTTAGTATTCCCTTTATTCATTTAGCAATGGGGTCTTGCCCTGAGGTTACTATTTCCTTTATTCATTTAACATCAGGTTTTCCTTTAAACTATGTATGTCCTTGAGCTGTGGACTTCGCTCAAAATTTAAAGAAAATATATATATTTTCTTTGAATCTTGCTAAATGTTAATAGACTGAACATTATTAACTATGGTTCTTATTTGATAACTGTTTTGTTACATATTTTACTATGTTAAAGTTAAACCTCTTCTTTTTATTTTAGACAGAAAAGAGGAGATGGGAGATGTCATTCTGTAAATATGTTTCTCTTATTGGTTAATGAATAAAGCACTGTTGGCCAATAGGAAAGGAAGATAGGTGGGACTAGGAAACAAGGAGGATTCCGGAAGTAGAAGGGAGGAGATTCAAGATGGAGGACTGAGAGGGAAGAATGCCGGGGCCTCTCTCCGGTAAGATGAGACCATGTGGAATTACTTAGATTAATAGAAATGCGTTAATAATTAAGACAGAGCTAGCCCATAAGAAACAAGTAACTGGCCAACAGCAAATACAGCATCTCTGTATGTTATTTGGGGCTGGCACAGCAGAGGGATCAGGCCGGCGGAAAAACCACACATAACACCTTTTCTCCTCAAGGTACATTTTGTCTTTCTTTTTACCCTGCTTTCTCCATTTCATTTGCTATGAATTGTAGAGAGATAGTCCTTCTGTGGCACTGACCACGCCCATTGGGGGTGGAGCCATGGGCGGAAGTGACCTGTGGAAGGAAGTCGGAGGGAGAGCCGGGAAAAGCTCTCTTGCTGGCGTGACTCGGACAGGAGAGCATCGGGTTGAATTTCCTGGTGTTCATCTGTCTAGGTTGTAAGTTATTTCTCCCTGAATAAACATCTATTCGGCCTATTTGTTTATCCTGATCCTTATTTAACCGCGATAAGGAGGAACCAAGATGGAGAGTCTGGAGAAAGCAGTATGCCGGCCGGCTCCCTGGTAAGAGAAATACATAGATCAGCAGAAATGGGTTAATAATTAAGGCAGAGATAGCCGATAAGAAACAAGTAACCGGGCCAACAGAGTTATATCTAATACAGAGAGTCTCAGTGTGTTATTTGGGGCTGGCACGGCAGCAGGACAAGACCAGGCGACGGGCAGGCGGAAAAACAGTACTCGTTACAATGAACTATGGGAAAAGACCACAGACTCAATCTAAATTATAATTAAGTGGGTTTATTATTAGCTAGCTGTTATACAGTGATAAAGGAGCTATGTCACCCTTGGTTCACAGAGATAAACAGGCATACTCTCTGGGTCCACAGAGATGGCTCCACTTCATCCTGACTTAAGGTCAGAGAGATCAAAACTGTCCTTACTCTTCCAAGGTTAAAGTCATAAGACCTACAGGTCTAAGGTGTGGCTACTGTAGAATGTTTGATCTTGGTGGTGGATATCTTATCTAAATAACAACAGACTTGGTCTGAGGTGTGGTGGTTACTCTTGATCCTCAAGGCTAGATAAGGAGAAATTGAGTCTAAGGTGTGGTTACCAAATGTTTGAAGAAATAAGGAAGAAGTCTTTTGCCATGTTCCCATTTTTGGTTGAAGAATAAACTTGGGGTGTTCAGTGTTCACTGGATTGCCCTCCTGACTCTACCATGTGTCTCTAAATTTTTCTTAGTATCTTTACCTGCCTTTCTCAAGCCACACTCCCCCTCTCAGGTATGAACCAGGCAAGTTGGCCAGCTCTGAACAAAGCCCCACAAAGACAGATTACAACAGTCTATAAAAGCCTGAACAGTGGTTACTTCATAACAGTCACACCTTTACGGGTAGGATGTAGTTTGCTAGTTGCTCATCTCTTAGGAATTCTGGGCAAAGGTCAGCAGCTGTTAAGGAGGGTACAGAACAGAGTTTTCTTAGCCATCACACATTGTAGACTGCACAAGTGTGATCCATAATAACCACAAGGCACAGTCAATACTAGGACATCCTGAAATCTGATGGGGGATGTCCTTCTATATATATGTTTCTCTTATTGGCTGATAAATAAAACACTGTTTGGAGGATAGGCAGGGCTAGGAAACAAGGACAATTCTGGGAAAGGTAGACAGAGAGGGGCACCAGGAGGAGATGCCAAAGGAGTAAGAGGTATGGGCATTCTCTGGTAAGCCAAGACCACATGGAAATACATAGATTTATAGAAATGGGTTAGTAATTAAGACAGAGCTAGCTAATAAGATGCCCTCGCCATTGGCCAACAGGTTATGCTTAATATAACATCTGTGTTTATTTAGGGCTGAAAGATAGCAGGACCTGGCAGGACAAGAAACCTCCAGCA